GTGCCACTTTGGAAGGGGGGCTCCAGGGGGGCCACTGGAGCGTCTCCAAGCATGAGTGGCTCTAATGATCGAGACACCCAGACACACACACCTATCGACACCCTGCGCCCGCACTATGACAAACTGTAGGTGCTCGGTGACTACACCACAACCTCCATAAAGACGACCTGGAACGGCTTCCGGGACCTTCCCAAGGAGAAGAAGAAGAAGGAGAAGAAAAAGAAGAAGAAGAAGAAGGGGCAGCAGCAGCAGCAGCAGCAGCCCGTGCTGGATGCGCTGCGTTCGACCGTGGACGACGTCGGTGCGGTCATCGCCGATTTGCGCACCGTCGGCGACCTCTTCGCCACCTTCCACGCTATCCGCATGGTGGAGGAGTTCGAGCGACGGAAGCAGGCTGGCCGGGCGGATGCGGATGCGGCCCTGCAACCACTCGACCGGAATTTTTTCGCCAGGTGGGTCTCCTGTGTGTTGGGGGTGGGATGTGGGTGGGCTTATCTTGTAGGCACACAGGTGCCTGGTTTCCTTGCTTGATAGGGTCCCATGTCTGCATGTGGCGTGTGCTGGTTGGATCAGGAATGCTTGCAGCTGTCTGGAACACATTGCCGCGGATGGAGTGCAGCGGCATGCGCCGCAGAGCAGGTGCTGGATAAACAGCCACCCTTTCGACCCACCCACCCATTACAACCACGGCGCAGATGCCTGACGCTCATTTGGCGACCTCGCGAGGCAGCCAGCAGATGTGCAGGTACCGGCGCAACGGCGGCGTTCGCGCCACTGGCCGAGTCCGTCGCCCTCTTTCGGCAGACACTCGAGCGGGCTGGCGTCACCCTTCAGCCGCCCGACCTGGAGTACATCCGCCCGCTCATCGACGAAGCGGCGGGGGACCTAGCGACAGCCACCTCTACGTACTACAAGAGGGAGCTCCTCCGCCATCTCCAGCAGAACGCCAAGCTGGAGCTAGGGGTGAAGGGAAATTGGCCACGCCACTGCGCCCGCGCAGTGCTGTCCGTCAGCTTCGCAAACCCTCTGGCGCCAACAGAGGACCCAGTCGCCGCGCCCGCCCTGCCACCCGCAGCCCCAGCGGTTGGCGCCGATGCAGCTGCGGTGCCCGTCCCAGACGCCGCGCCCGACCAGACGCCCTCGGCCCTGGACCCCGGCGTCTCCACAGCTGCGGCGCCCGCCCCGGCCGCCGCGCCCGACCAGCCGGCCCCAGCCCCAGCCTCCGGCAGCGATGCAGCGCCCACCCCAGCCCGGGCCGCGGCGCCCGACCAGCCTACCCCAGTCCCGGGCCCCGGCGTCTCCGCAGCGCCAGCCCCGGCCGCCGCGCCCAACCAGCCACCCTCAGTCCTGGGCCCCACCGTCTCCGCAGCGCCATCCCCAGCCGCCACTCCCGACCAGCCTACCCCAGGCCTGGGCCCCGGCGTCTCCGCAGCGCCATTGCCAGCCCCGGCCGCCGCGCCCGACCAGCCGCCCCCAGCCC